AGTTAGCTTGGTAAATTTTTTTTTTCCATCCTTTAACTTTTAGTCTGCTTTTGTCTGTGTGTAAGGTGTGTCTCTTGCAGGCAGCATATTGAAGGATCTTGTTTTCTTATCCATTCTGCCACTCTCTGTCTCTTCACTGGTGCATTCAATCCATTGACATTCAATGTAATTATCAATAGGTATGAATTAATTGATGCCATTATGTTGCTTTTTTGGTAGTGCTGTTGGTTCTTTTGTTCTGCATGTTGGGTTTGTGTTTTTTGTGCTATTTCTTGTCAGTTTGTTCTTAGTTTTCATGTTTGCTTGTTCTGCTTGGAAGTCCATTTTCTTGGTAAGTTGTGAAGTATTTACATTCTTTGGAGTTACCTTATAGTCTACTAACTTTTCTCTCCATGAAAGAGAATCCATTGTATGCTGTAATTTTTACATGGCATCCTCACCACCTGGATCTCTGTGGCTACTTTTGTCCCTACTTCGACACTGATATAATTTTGATCTTTGGTTGACCTCCCAGCTCCCTTGAGTTTGTTGTTGTAGTCTTGTTCTGTTCTGGACTCTGCTATCTGTTGACTGAGTTCAAGGTGGTGTTGCCACACCTGTCAATCTCTGGTTGTTGTCTGTTCTTGCTGGTTTTCAGTCCACAGACCTCCCTTTAGGATGTTTTGAAGTGCTGGACTGGTTTTGTAAAATCTCTCAGATTCTGTTTATCATGGATTGTCTTGATCACCCATTGTATTTGATTGATAATTTTGCTGGATAGACAATTCTTGGTTGGCAGTTTTTATCTTGTAGGATTTTGTATATGTCTCTGCATTGCCTTCTTGCCTACGTGGTTTGTTCTGAATAGTCAGAGCTTAATCTGATTTGCTTGCCTTTATAAGCAACATTTCTCTTCTCACTGGCCACTTTTAGTATTCTCTCCTTGTCTTTGATTTTGGAGAGCTTGATTATTATATGTCTTGGTGACTTTCTTTTGGGGTCTATGCTTCCTGGGTCACGTTCGGCTTCCTGAATGCTTATCTTCTCATCTTTCAAGATGTTAGGAAATTTTTCTTCCAGAAGCTCCTCAACTATCTCCTCTGTGGATTTCTCTGATTCTTCCTGTTCCGGAATGCTTATAATTCTTAAGTTGTTCCTCCTCATGTTATCCAGCATGAATTGTAGGCTCTCTTCAGATTTTTTAATCCTTTTTTCTGCTTGCTCTTCTATCTTAGCAGTATTGAGAGATTTGTCTTCCAGCTCACTATTTCTGGCTGCCATCTCATCTATTCTGTTCCTTTTCCCATTCAATGTATTCTCCATTTTTGATATCTTATTATTGATCATCTGGACCTCTTTTTGCAGGTTTGGAATTGTTTCCAATGCTGTATCAATCTTATCAATTGCTCTTGTAGTACTTACCTGACTTCTTGTTCTCCTCCACCCCTTTTCGGAGCATTTGAATTTGTTTCCGTATCATTCTTCTGAATTCTTTCTAAGGCATATCCAAAACCTGCTCTTCCTCTTCTAGAAAGCCCTTTTCTGTCTACAGCTCATTTGTCTCAGCTACTCTCTTCTGTTTTTGTACATATTTTGATATCGTTTATTGTTTTTTATTCGTCTTTTCTGATAGTTACGTGTTTTTTGTTTTGTTTTTTAAAGCTTAATTGGATGTTTGTTATTAAGCTTACTGGGGGATTCCTGGTGAATATGATCAGGAGACAGGCTTCTCTTTTTTCATGTAATGCTTAGCAGGTGTTGTTGCCTTGTCTCAGTGGTGGAATATAATGGGGTATGCTTACAGATTTGCTATATGGCCACGATTGCTGTCTCTTCTTGGGTAACATAGGGGGAAAAGGCTCCTGCCTCCAGGAAAGATGTGTGATCAAAAGGACCAAAAGCAGAAGTAATATAAATGCAGAGACAAATACCACCACTTTGGAACACAAATGAAGCTGTGGTCGACTGTTCCGAGCTACACAGTGAGTTTGTGTGAAAGGTAGAAGCCTCCCACAGTGGGTGAAGGTGTCCTCTCGCTCAGGCCCCTCCTCTAGTCACACTAGAGGTGCACAGGTAGATACTGAGAAGTTAATGGGAGAAAGATTGTCCACTATTTTTGTCTCTGAAGGTCAGTTAGGTGTCTGCGTGTGCACAGCGCAATTCTCGAGAGGGTTGAGTCCTTTTATGTTGGGGTTTTACAGATTGTATTATAAAGGTCCTACACACGGAGCCAAGGTAGCACAGTGGCCACGAATCGGGCCGTGAACCACAAGGTCAGCAGCTTGAAACCACCAGCCGCTCCGCGGGAGAAGACAAAACGCTCCACTCCCACAAAGACCCACAGCCCCGGAAACCCAGCACAGGGTCGCCTGGAGTCAGAGCGCAGCCACCAAGGGTCTAGCTCAAATCAATCTTAGGGCTGTCTCTGCGTCTGACGTCATTGGTGGCCGTCAAACTCCCTCTCTCTGTACCGTGGGGGAACTGCGAGGTCAGGGCTGATTTTTGGGGGTACACATCCACCGCCTGGTGTCCTGGCAGAGCGAAGAAACCGCTCCAGGGAAGATGCGGGAGAAATGTGTAGAGTCTCCCACGCCTCTTTATTCAAATGTCTCTGCGCAGCTTTTAGAGCAGGTTCACTGAGCCAGAATGGCTGTAGCCCCGCCCTCTAAACTCTGCCAGGGCAGGATAGCTACAGAGGGAGTCCCGTCTCCCTAACTCACAGTATTTTCCTTAATACAGTGATTTTTTCACTTGCAAGTGCAGGAAACTGACGTCCTGGACCTTATGGTAGATCCGGAGCTCTGGAGTTGTTCTGTGAGCGCTTCTTGCGTGAAATCTCAGTCCCTCTCTAGCACATAGATTTCCCTACCTGACTTTCTCCACTGCCACTGAAACTGGAAGTCCAGTACCATTTCTTTTTCATAGACATTTTTTGGCTCTGTATTTTAGACACTTGTTTGAGTCACTCTGTTTTGTTCCTTTTTGTGAACTGAACTACTTGTCTCTGAGATATTTTGGTGTTGTATTTGTATTTAATTGATTGTATATTGGTGTGTTCTTAGGCACTCTACCTGTCTCCTGGTGGATGTGATAGAGAATGGATGTGTGTGCATAATTCTCTGTTTGCTGTTCATGTAGTAAGTTCAGGGTGAGTTTGGCTGGTGTTGGCTGCTGTTCTTGCCCAGTGAGTGGGAATGTAGGTGGTATGGTGTGGCTGCTATGGGCACAGCTGCTGACTTGTGTCAGGTGGGCAAGAAGGAGGAAAAGAAAGAAACACACAAGAGAAAACAAACAAACAATACTAAAAAAGTAATAAAGGAGACAAAAGAAAGAAGAAGGGAGGGAGAAAAAGAAATGAGACGTAGAATAAAAAAGAAAAAGAACAAAGGAAGAAAGCAAAGAAAAAATAAATCAAAAAGAAAAACTGAGGGCAGGGGTAGGATCCAGAGAGGAGAAAACCGTGAGGTATCAGGTTACTAAGTATGGGTTGGCACCCTCTGCCAGCCAAGGAGCTTATGAAGTGGGAGGGGAAGGGGAGAGAGGATGGTATGCCCTGCCCTAGAAGAAGGAAGTCATGTAGGCTTAGGTGTTCTATCTATAGTCAGTGTACCCAATCCAGTAGTTTATGCAGGTCCTAACAGTGGCTGAGGTTAGGATTTTGTTGCCAGAGGGAACTCTTTTAGGCCCAGTGGGTAGCTGGAACTGAGTGGCTGGTTATGAGAGTTCCTGCTGGTCCAGGACTAGCCTGTGACCTGGCTCTGTGCCTCCAGATGTGAGGGTGGTTCACCTGATGCCTGACTCTCATCAGCATCTCTCTGATCTCTAGCAGAGAAGGGGGTAGGTGAGAGTGACCGCCAAGAGAGTATGGGATATAGAGAGAATCACACCTTTCTTGTTTTTGGTGTATGTCTGTGCTGTCAAGCCTGGATAGAATGCTGCGTACAACAATTCAGCATGGCTGTGCTCAGTCAGAGCAGCCAACAGTTCACCTGTCTTTCTCCTCTTTCACCTCCTCTGTTCAACTACTTCTCTCAGTCAGTAATCAATCCAATTCTCAATCCTTTCCTCTCAAGTTCAGGATTCCAGAATTATCATTTGTATGTTTCATTTGTATCTTTGTTGCAGAGTGTCTCTGTGTAGCATGTCTGTCTAGTTTGCCATCTTGTTGGAAGTTCTTACTAATACTTTCTTGCCTCCCATCTTAACCTCTCCCTCTATAGGTCGGCAGTATTTGCTTAGTATACATGAACTTCTGCATATTACACATAAAATACAATTCTTTGTGGTTGGGAGAGGCTTCACAGCTTTTACATAACTCTCAAAAAAGTTTAATGACGCCCCCCAAATTAAAGCCCAGTGTTGTGGTATTTTTATTTATTTATTGCCCTGTTTGCTTAACCATGTCTTCTTCCATTCTTAAAAGTCCAGCTCATGTTTCTGAATTCAAAGAACTTTCCAGATGGAGACTTTCCTATGCTCCAAACTCTTCAATTCTATACCATTAGTTTGATTGATTTATTAAGTACAAAGGGGGCTTCAAAAAGTTGTGGAAAAAACTTCTGAAGTCTTCATAATTTCTAAAAACTCTAAAAAATATTATGTTAATTGCAACTTTATTCTTTTGTTATTTAATGTAAAGTATCATTCATGAGTCTAAACTTTTTATAGCAAGTTCAGATATTTTTGTGGGGGGATAGGGACTTACCTTTAAGAGGGCTTCAAAAAGTTCGTGGAAAAACTCTTACCTTTTAATTTCATTTTCCATGACATTTTTGAAGCCCCTTGTATATGTACTTATACAAAACTTAAACTCAATAAATAATATTACGGAGACAAATGCAGATGATGAATCACCTTCAAATTAATTCTAAACATGCTAATCACATCTATGACGTTGTCTTAGGAGCTGGACAAAACACCAGACAGAATAGCTGCCGCTTACCTCTGCTTTACGAATATTTTCTCTCGCTTCATCTATTTTCTGTTCCAGTTCTGCTCGGCTTTGTTCTGATGCTGTAGTTCCATGACATTCCAGCTCATCTAGAACCTATTAAAGAAAACAGGAAAAGGATAACTGTTTTTCTTTAAGTGACTAGATTGTTTTGATAATTCAAAAGTCCATCTCCCCCCACAGATAACTTACATAACTATAGTACAATATGAAAACCTGGAAATTAATAATGGCAGAATCTACTGGCCTTATTCAGATTGCACACCAATTCACAAACATACTTTTAATTTAAAAAAATTAAATGAGTATAGCATACTGCTGAAAAACAAAGCAGCAACAGTCTCCATTATACCTGTACATGTCACCATGTATTCTCCATCTCAAGCTAACCATTGTTACATGAATCAATATATGCATTATTTTAAACAGTTTCTTATACACTTTCTCACATACATCTGCACAAATAGAAACTGTTGTTTAGAAATATAAAATGAAATGTATGCAGTATTATTTTCATCTCAATATATCTAATAAGCCTTCTTACGTTTATACAAATAGATCTTATTCTCGTTAATCCTTGGATTCTATTTACTCCCACTCTATTGATAAGTAAAATTTCAAATTTCTCAACATGGTATGGTGCAGTAGGATCAGCAGTGGGTTGGGAACCACAAGGTCGGCAGTTCAAATCCACTAGCTGCTCTTTGGAAACCTTGTACTACAGCTTCGCTGTGAGTTGAAATCGACTGGATGGCACTTAACAAATATACACTCAACCGCATCAATAACTTTTTGAACGCATATGGGAATATTTAATTAGCATAAAAACAGAGAAGTGCAAATTGTACATTTTAATAAAAGACACTGCCAAATTGTACCCCCAACCCAAGGTTGTATGTCTTCAACAGTGTATGAGAACACGTTTCTCTATATCTTAACAACATTGGCCACTTAATATACTGTACATTTTTCTAATTTTTGAGCCCCCTTAAAAACAGAGAGCTTTCTCTGGCTGGAGTGAGATGAGAAATCTCAAAGTGAGGGAAATCAGACAGATCTGTACATTAGAAGGCTTGAATGCACTATTGCTAGCATATCTTCAAAGACCATAGAGAGTGGGCCAAGTAGGAAGTACTAGGGAAATACAGATGGAGTCCTGATGTGGTGCTGTAGGATAAATGCAGGACCACAAGGTTGGTTTGAATCACAAAGTACACAGTTCAAATTCACTAGTGGTTCCTTGGAAACCCTATACAGGGTCACTGTGAGTCAAAACCAACTTGACAACATTTAACAAACAGATGCAAAGAACCGGATTTTGACAACATGAATTAAGTCTGGAGTAGATTCTCCTTCAGGGTCTCCAGATAAGAGTCTAGGCTAGCAAATACCTTGACTTTGGCCTTGTTAGAGTCCTGGTGTAGTACTATAGGATAAGCACTGAACTGCAAGGTCAGTGTGAACTGAAAGGTCGGTAGTTGAAACTCACCAGGAACTCCTCAGAAACCCTATACTGAGTCGCTATGAGTCAGAACCAACTTGATGGCACTTAATAACAACAACATAAGGTTGTTATGATTTGAAGCAACTCAATGGCAGTAGGCTTTCTTGATGAGTTGATGATGAGTTCTTATCATCAAGAAATATGTGTCTTCATAACAATCTTAATGAATAATCTCTATAGTGCACTTTGTATAATGTTTGTTTTATGTTGCTGTTAAGTGTCATTCATTTGATTTTGATTCATAGCAACTGTGCATAGGGTTTCCAAGGAGTGGCTAGTGGGTTTGAACCCCCAACCTTGCAGTTAGCAGTCCAGTGCTTATCCTACAGCATCACAACACCAGACCCCTACATAATAGTAATATTAGATAATACTCAGCTTTCTTATAATCGGTATTTGTATGGTTTGTCTCTCCCAACATTCTTCTTTTACCTTATCTATGTCTTTATATTTAAAATGCTTTCTTTCTATTTAAAAATATGAATCTAAAGCATATATTTGGATCTTGCTTTTTTATCCAATGGTCAATCTTTGACTTTAACTTGAGTATGCAGACCATTTACATTTAACATAATTATCAACATCAACGTAAATATCAATATGATTTGATTTACATCTACTATCTTGCTGTGTAACTGCTAGAGGACTTAAGAAATTTTCCAATTAAAGTTAATAGTTTAGAGCACAACCTAAGTGCTAAGAAATTATATTAAAAACATATATAGGATTTTTTCACATTAATAAAACTTAACTCCTCAAATTACTTGACATTTGGCTTAAAATGAATATGGCCTCTGCTATACTTACACGTTGTTGGTGAACAATGTTTTTGTGCTCACGTGCCACTCGTGTGGCCCACTTCCGAGCCTCCTTATTTAGACTATGCTCCTCTGTGGTACCAGTTTCTGATTCTAATTTTCGGCTCTACAAAACAAAAGAGAAGAGAGGAAAGTATTATTATCCTTATTACAACCACTATGAATTTACAATTGTATCAAGAACCTTTACTGTATCAGCAGTCAAAACATGAAGTATGTTCTACTACTGTGGGAAACAATGTCTTATGTCACAGCAAGTTAGAAAAAGATTAAGAGGCCAGTATAAACCCTTAAATGACCACAATTTAGTTTTTCTTATATTGCTGAACATGAGCATTTCCTCTCTAATACTATGATCCTTCTTTTTGAGTATGAAGGAAGCAAGCTAAGCAAAGGAAAAAAGGTTTTCATCTCAACCTACTATGTCACAAATAGTTGCATGTATAAAAACAGAAATAATTCAATAGTTTCAACGTGACAAAAAAATCACTGAATAAAAGTGAAAACAAACAACCAACAAAATAATAACTATAACAAAAACCCCTCTAAGATATTAGGTTTGATTTCATTGTATGTCTATTACCAACTTACTAAATGATGTCAAACAAGTAAAGATAGGGCTTTGTTCTCATTTTCTATGGGCTTAGTACTATTAATCAGATAGAAGTATTCAAGGATCAGGACAAATAACAAATGTCACTGACTGGTAGATATGGCTTTAGAATCCTCTGGGTAGGAAATGACACATAAGTAAAATTTGAAATAATTTATCCTTTCCATGATTTCTGAAATCAAGTCATAGAAAGACATGTGGAAATTATCTTTAACTGGGTTTGACAAATTAGAATTCATACAAGGCAAATTCAACCCTGGGCGTTAAGCCACACCCAGAGGTTTTGTTCGAATATACCCTCCGTTACCAAAGATCTAGTCAAGATCTAGATTATTTGTTTTTTTAGGTGCTGGTTACGAATCGGGCTGAAAACCTTAAGGTCAGCGGTTCGAAACTACCAGGCATTCAGCGGGAGAAAGATGAGGCTTTCTACTCCCGTAAGGATTTACACCCTCGGAAACCCTGTACAAGGTCGCTATGGGTCGGAACCGACTCGACGGCACTTAACAACAAATAATAGTGGTAGATTCTGGCAAAGGAACTGTTAGGTCTTTCTTATAATGTTCGTTAATTTAATCTTTAGTTCATTCTTTCAACATTCCCCCATAACCTTTTAAAAAAATATTTAATACATATAAATGAAGAATGGCCTGTATAAGCTATTAAGCACAATAATTTAAAGACTATTGCTATTATAACGTTAAATCTTTGATTAGTTTAAAAGAGGTATATGCAATAATAGGATTCTCAGGAGAATAATAGCAAAAAAACTCACAAAATCCACCAAAAAACAAAGCACCATCCACACACAAAAAAACCTCAAATATATTATAACTTGAAGAAGACTACTATAAAAAGACTTTCTTATCAATTTTTATGCATAGCAGGGATAGTTTTCATTTGTCTATGCCAATCTGGGTATACTTCTACAATGGAGAGGAGGCCAAGAATTTCAGAAATCATATTAAGTTTTAGTTAATAATTTTCAGAAGCAGACAGATCTTTTCCTGGAAAATAAATGTCAATTTAAAAAAAAGTCTATGTTTCTGAGTTCTGTTCCCTCTAGTTGGAATAACTTCCCTGTGGACAAATTCCTAGTCATTCTTCAAATCTCAGTTCAAATACTACTTTCTCTGTAAAACTTCCCTTGGCATTTATAGACAAACTCAGGCTTCCTTCACTTTTGACATATCTCTATTCTCTATTACATATATACTTCCCTCTTGTAGTTAAATAAACAAAACACTTATTTTACTGATGAAAATATGCACAGCAATCTCTTTTATACTAAAGTATTCATTTATTAGACATTCAGTAAATGGTCATTGTGTCATGCAAATGTTACATCATACTGTAATTGCTGCATGCATTTCCTATCCCCTAATCATTTCGTTCTTGGTTAAAGTACTATATAACCAAATGTCCTGGTTCTGGAATTCCAAAGTGAGAGCCAGGTGATTAGATTATTAGGAAGGTGCCTTAGGAGATAAAAGAATTAACTTCATTAGAATCAGTTTCTATCTGATGAAGGGTAAGATTATTTGTAGGGGGAAAATCAGAATAAAGAATGGAGAAAGGGAATGAATTTGTTAAGTGCCATGCATGCTATTGGATGAGGATCCCTCTCTCACTTCTATAATAAATGATTAGCTAGTATAACTCCCTCCATGTTTAAATTCCCACTACAAAACCCATCCACATGGATGAATGAAGAAATTTATTTGAAATGCTAAATTAAGGGATTTTTATAAAAACATCTACTGAATGAAACTTACTAGTTAAGTGACCACTGAAATATGACATAAACCCACTCTTCAAAGAGATCTAACTGTGTCATCCTGTCTAACTCACTCCTCTCTAGGTTTCAGAGTGCTCATCTGAAATTCAAGAAATCTGAAGATGGAATGAAATCTCAGTCTTGGATTTATACTGGTAGTTGATTTTAAAAGAACAGAGGATCATGCCTTAGCTATAAGCAGGTAGGAGTACTAGATACATGTTTTTAAATTAAAGACCCAGAAATTCTGCTACTCTATTACAAGCTTCAAATTCTGTTTCTGTATTAACTTAAAAGCCAGCCTAATCCAAGTATAAAAGGGCCTCTGTAAAAATTAAAAATATTCTGAAAATATCATTTTAATTTCCTTGAGATTTTAAATTGATGACTTTTAAGAATGAATGAAGATGGATATTAAAAAACAACTATTTGATATGAAATTGTTGTTGCTGTAAAATGCTGTTGCGTCAGTTCTGATCCTGTATAGGGTTTCTGAGGAACAGCTGGTGGGTTTGGACCACAGACCTTGCGGCTCAAACTGACCTTATGACCCAGCACATTATCCTGCAGCACCATGCCAGGACTCCTTGATATGAGGTAGGGTATGTAAAAATTCTGATATGGATTAGAACTATAGTTATTGTAAACATTAGATATCCATAGCTATTTTTCTTGACATATTCTCTGTCTAGGTTAAAACACTTGTGAAGGCAGTGTTTCTATCTCTCTAACCTTTCCCCAAAGAAATCTATGATCCCCACATGTTAAAACAGCAGTTTGGGCATCCTTGAGGGACTCAAACTGTGATCCTTTTTAATGGTCTTTGGGAGTGGGAACAAAAAGATGTCTAAAGGAGTAAAAGCAGGGTTGTAAGGTGGGTGGGGAAACTTTCACAGCAAAGTTCTCACAGGACATCCCTTGCTACCCTCAAAGAATGAGTAGGTGCATTGCTGTGATAAAAAAAAAAAAAAAAATTTCCTTGGCTTAAGTTTTTTGGCCTTTTTCGCATCAATGCAGTTTTCAATTTTCTTAAAATGTCTTCATATGATTTTCCTATGTCCTTAAAAAAATATAACAAGATTACCCCTTGTGGTTGTTGTTGTTGTTAAGTGCCATTGAGCTGGTTCCAACTCATAGCAACCCTGTATATAGTTTCTGAAGAGTGGCTGTTGAGTTTGAACCATCTTGGTGTGGCACTATAGAATAATTATTGGACTGTGAATCAAATGTTGGTGGTTCAAATTCACCAGCCGCTTCCTAAAAACCCTATACAGGGTGGCTGTGAGTCAGAACGAACTCAATAACCCATAACAACAACAATTTTGTAAATTAAGACATATTTTGGGTTGTTTATAAGAAAATAGAAGCCAAACATTTTAAATGAGTTTAAGAAATTCCAGAGCCTGTTGTTAGTTGCCATTGAGTTGATTCCCACTCATGACCACGTGATGTGTGCATAGCAGAAGTTCACTGCATGGGGTTTTCAAGGCTGTAAACTTTCAGAAGCAGATCACAAGGCCTGCCTCCGAGGCACCTGACTGATTTTGAACTGTCAACCTTTCAATTAGCAGTCCAGGTGTTTTACCGTACAAGCCACCTCTGACTCCATTTCCAGAGTCTATCAATGTTATGGTATTATATTGATATCACACAATCTTTCATAGATAAGAGTAATTTTTGCTAAATAATAATTCTTAATGGTTATGTGCCATGGAGTCAGTTCTGACTCATAGCAACCCTGTACAGGGTTTCTGAGGCTGTAAATCTTTACGGGAGCAGAAAGCCTCCTCTTTCTCCCACAGAACAGCTGGTAGTTTCGAAATGCTGACCCTGAGGCTAGCAGCCCGATTTGTAACCACTATGCTGAATTCTCCATTTAAGTAAAATTTTAATGTGGAAGAGTCCTAAATTACAGTGAGTGGACTTATTTAACATGAGTTTTCATCTGTAAACAGTAGAGTTAAACACTAGATATAGCAGCTAAAATAACAGGAAAAGGTCTTGTATCAGAAATTTAATGTCAGCTTTTTGCTAGCATTTTCTGTAGAGATCTTGTTATTTGCAGTTAAGGAAAGTAAAGAGGAAAGGTCCTCCCAGCCTCATTATGAAACCTGGGAAAAATGATTCCATGTTTTTCCTGCCTGCACAAATCACACTTATCTGAATGGACAAGCATGCTTCCCATATTTTTATTTCCCTTCCCAGGATGACCTTGTCATTTTTTCATAGAATATGAGGAAATGTCCTTAAGGGCACCTATCAGTTTCTGTAAGGTAAGGGAGGCACACTCAGATGTATGTAGGGCAGAGGTAGTACAAGTTGTCTATTTAAGAAGGGTAAGAATGGACACAAATTGTTCGCTATTAGCTATTGCTTATTCTACCTAGATTGCCTACATAGGTTTATAAACTGCTAAGAAAAAAGAGTGATGAGATCTATCTTTTTGTAACAAAACTGAACAGAAATCATAAGGGACTTTCAGTGATCTGTCTAGTAAGAGAGCACAGAGAACTGGAGACTGAGACTGTGAAAATGCTATAAGATTTCAAAATAGTTGTGATATTTGCTATATTTGATATTTAGGCATTCCCTACAATAAAGAGAAATTAAATTTTTTTTTTTTTTTTTTTACATGCATATGTGGTAGTCTTGTGGAAAAATACAGAAAAAGCAAAGGCAGTCAACAGCTATTCTGGAAAAATTCCACCATCATTTTTCCATGAACATTTTCAAGCTCCATTGTATACCCTAAAATTTCCCCTCACCAAGTAAAGATAATTCTGTGAGGGAGAACTGACAAGTGCCTTGATTCCAATCACAGAGTTACAAAGTCATACAAATGTCACATGGACATGCTGGTATTAAGAGATTCTTCTACAGGTGTTGTGCAATGGAAAAAGCTAAGGCTTTGGAGTCAAGTTCTGGCTGAGCCACATACTAGCCATGTAACCACATGAGATACAACTGCATAACCACAAGGATGGCTATAATCTAAAAGACAGACAATAACAAAAGTTACATGATAGACATGCAAAATGGTGCAGTTACTCTGGAAAAGGAATCCTGGGATGGCACCATAGGATAATGTGCTGGACCGCAAAGTCAGTTTGAGTTATACAAGGTCAGTTTGAGTTATAAGGTCGGTGGTTCAAACCCACCAGCCACTCCTCAGGAAACCCTATACAGATTCACTATGAATTGAATCTGACTCCACAGCACTTAACAACAACAACTTTGGAAAAGAGTTTGGCTATTTCTCAAAGAGTTAAAATACACGGAAGCCATCATGGCAAGCAATCAAGTCCCTTTAGGACAAACCTCCAAGACTGAAACTCAAAGGGAACATATTAGCAGGCATATAAGCTTGCTGGTGACCGCACTGGTCTACTGGTGAGTGCAAGAGGGGGAAAGGCAGCAACGAAGAAATGGGCTGAGTTCAACCACATTCCATAGACTCCCAATGACCTGGAGATGAGAGAGAGACAAGGAAGGGCTGGTTGGTCTGAAGTGAGGTGAGAACTGGGGACACCTGCGTTCATGGACAAGGACATAGCCATGGAGGGCTAGAGCTGAGAGTGAAGTATCCTGCTGATATGAAGTGAAGGGAGATGCACAAGAAATGTCCAAAATTGCAGATAGTAACCATCTGACCTAGCCTCAATGGCTTGATAATCAGAACTCAATTAGAGGAAGATAAAAAACCAATTTTGACAAAGGGAATGAGTGTAAATTGCTACAATTTGATGAACTTGACTGATACTTATGGATGTAGTAGCTCAAAATACCAAGTGAGAGGGAAGAAGTCTTCACAACAAGTATCAATCCTATCCCTACTGTATACAGGGTAGATAGGGACAGGGAATTTAGACATTGGCTACCTAAAATGAGGGGGCTATAATTGCACAATGCTTGCTGAAAGTGAAGAGGACTTGAAACATTTACTTAAGAAGACCAAAGAGCACAGCCTTCGATATGGATTACATCTCAATGTCAAGAAAACAAAAATCCTCACCACTGGACCATTTAACAACAAAATACATTTTTATCAATGGAGAAAAGATTGAAGTTGTGAATGGACCAATAAAAAAGCAACATTTTTATCAATGGAGAAAAGACTGAAGTTGTCAAGGACTTCATTCTTCTTGGATCAACTATCAACACTCGTGGAAGCAGCAGTCAAGAGATCAGACGACGTATTGCATTGGGCAAATCTGCTGCACAGGAACTTTTTAAAGTATTGAAGAGCAGAGATGTCAGCTTGAGGACTAAGGTGAGCCTGACCCAGGCCATGGTGTTTTCAATAGCCTCATATGGATGTGAAAGCTGGACAGTGAATAAGGAAGATCGTAGAAGAATTGATGCCTTTGAGTTGTGGTGTTGGAGGAGAATACTGAAAGTGCATGGACTGCCAAAAGAACCAATAGATCTGTTTTGGAAGAAGTGCAGCCAGAGTGCTCCTTGGAGGCCAGGATAGCTAAGCTTCGCCTCTCATACTTTGGACATATTGTCCGGAGGAAACAGTCGCTGGAGAAGGATGTCATGCTGGGTAAGGTGGAGGGTCAGAGAAAAAGAGGAAGACCCCTAACGAGATGGATTGGCCAGGTGGCATCATTGATGGACTCAAGTGTGGTGGCGGTAGTGAGGTTGGCCCAGGATCGGACATTGTTTCGTTCTGCTGTGCATGGGGTCGCTATGAGTCGGTTCCGACTCGATGGCACCTGACAACAACAACATAATTGCACAAAGTGGCTGGCTTTCAAGTTTTCAAGAGGGAGCTTATAGTTTAAGAGTGTGCGGGCAAAGTTAGAGTCCCAACTGAACAGGTTTCATCTTGTCTAGAGGAGTCTCATGAGAAGAGATGGGGATGAGATTCTTATGATTCAATAGTGAGTAACTGTTATCAAGACTAATTGAGACTGTCACAACTGCAAAGGTAGAAGTTTTGTAACAAAAACCAGGGAGCAGTTAATCTTACAGTCCAGAAACACAGGACCTTAAGACCATAGTGGGAGAAGTGCATAATTGGAACGTGGGGCCCTATCCAGAGAAGCAGCGACACCAGAGATGGAGACAGAGATGAGGACATGGAGAGAGGGAGCAGCTGAGGACTCTAGACTCATGTAAAGAGAGGGACTGGATGCTGGTGGCCAGGAGGCAGGCTTGCAGAATGTGCCCTTTGGTTGTTTAAATTATTATATATTCCTGAGTGTTTCTATGTACATCTTTCCCTCCCCGAAACAAAAAAACAGGAAATGGAAGCAAATACTGTTAAACAATGACGCACGGATTATAATCATTGCAATGAAATAATGATGTAAAGCTTATGTTCTCCCATGTAAACTATCACTCAGTTCATAATAAAAACTTGAAAAAAAAAAGTTAGTTAAAATACATTTATCATGATGGCAGTGGTGGTAGAATATCGAGTCATTTTTGCCTTATAACGACCCTGTATAGGGTTTCCGAGGCTGTAAATGTTTATGGGAGAAGAAAGCCTCATCTTTTTCCTGGAGAGAGGCTGCTGGATTCTAACTGCTGACCTTGTGGTTGGCAGCCCAATGCGTAACCTGCTATGCCACCAGGTTTCCTTACATTTACTATATGACCCAACATTCCCACTTCCAGGCATGTACCCCAAAGACATAATACTTCTTACAAATGTTTGCATTTGTTGTTGTTGTTATGTGCTGTGGAGTAGGTTCCGACTCATAGCAACCCTGTACAGGGTTTCTGAGGCTGTAAATCTTTAAGGGAACAGAAAGCCTCATCTTTCTTCTGTGGAACAGCTGGTAGTTTCGAACTGCTGACCTTGCGGTTCCCAGCCCGATTCGTAACCATTACACTACCAGATTTTTGTATGTTTGCATAGTCATACAAAAATCTGTAAACAAATGTTCATAGCAGCATTATTTAAAATAGTCAAAAAGTAGAAGCAGCCTAAATATACATCAAATAATAAATGGATAAATGAAATATGATATATTCAAACAATGGAATACTGCTGAGCAAACAAAAACTGATACATGCAAGACAGGGCAAACCTCAAAAATATTATGCCAAGAAGCAAGATGCAAGAAACCACACATCGCATGATTCAATTTATGTGAAGTATCTAATAAAAGGCAAATCTATAGAAACCATCATAGAAAGATGTAGCAGTCGGCTCCCCTAAAGATTTACAGCCATGGAAACTGGAGCCATTCCCTCTGTCCTATGAGGCTACTATGAATCAGAAGAGACTTGAGGGTAATGGGTTTTCTGGGGGGTGCTGTGGGTTGGGTGGTTAGATACAGAAAGCTGGTTAGTGATTGTTAGGGGCAGAGGTGACAATGGGAATTAATAGCAAATGCATATGAGAGAGTATACTGGAATCATGAAACTATTCTAAGACTTAAGTTGGCTGCACAACTTGGTAAATTTATAAAAATCATTGTATATTTGAAATGAGTAAATTGTACAAGTTAAATTTCTTTTTTAAGATTGGTAAATTAGCATTTAAAAAATTCAAGTAATGCAAATATTTTTCATAGAGTACATGTAAAGGCAAAAACATCATGAACAAATAAAAAAATATAATCACATTTGCTTTTAAAAAATGGCCAATTTACAGTTTTGTTAATACTTTAACATTCTAAGAGATCTGAAAGGAATTATAAAGGACTCATAATTTTTTATAAAGCCAACCAAAATATTCATGAGTACATAGTTATTATTTATTCATTCTATTCTAGTGAAAATTTAGCCATTGACATCTATCTTTGAAAGGGTATATAATTTGAACAACTTAATGGATAGAAAGTATGTTTTATATTCATATCAACAAAATAATAATGAAATATCTTATGTTCTATCAATCTAGTTCTCAGATTTTTAGTAATTTGGTTTATAATTTAACCTCATTTAATAGATAATTGTTATTACAGAGACTGGGTATGTTAGTCATATTTTTAAAAAGAGGAAATGTCAGTTTCTCTGAATCCTCTGTTTTGTTACAAAATGAATGAGACACATTCAGCTTTTTCTGTCTAGCCCTGGGACAACAGTCTTTTTTTGAGCACCAACACAGCTTAACAGCAAATAAAATGAAAATCTGGAGTTTCCTTACAGTATCACTGTCACAAGGCTGGAATTGGAAAGGCTGGGGTTTGTGAAACACAGCATTCTCTTGTAAAAACAGCTGAAGATTATAGTCCCGTATCACCTAAAGAGAAAACAGAATTATCTTTAAGACTTTATTAAAGTTAAAACGTTAAGTAATTATCTATTTTTAAGCTTCCTTTAAGTTTACTTCAATTAAAAGTGTTCAACAGTCATTACTTCATTCTATCGAAAGGCTACACGTAGTGGCTCTAATGAATTCATTATATGAAAAATATTTTCCAACATTTCATTGTACTTTAGGTGAAAGTTCCCACAGCAAATTTTTTCCAATTCAAGAATTCATACATACACAAGTTGTTCCATGACACAGTAATTGCCTATTATGGTTTACATTTTATTCTGTGGCTTTTTATACAAATGTGAAATCATCCAATACAATGTGGTTAAAAAAAATGGTAATGGTATACTCTTTATATAATAGTTGCAACTCTGTGTGGCCTATTTACTCATGAAGCTTAATTTGTTAAGCATTAGCTTAGAAATCAGCCCAGATTTTGGAACTAGACAATACACAGTATTTTCGGCAACAAGACTATACCTATCACACAAAGAATTACTCTTTTTAATAGGGGGGTAGGGTAAGAACCAAAAGAACCAGTAGATCCATTTTGGAAGAAGTGCAGCCAGAATGCTCCTTGGAGGCCAAGATGGCCTCCAAGTATGAGACTTCATCTCTCATACTTCGAACATATTGTCAGGAGGGGCCAGTCGCTGGAGAAGGATATCATGTTTGGTAAGGTGGGGGGTCAGAGAAAAAGAGGAAGACCCCCAACGAGATGGATTGGCCAAGTGGCAGCATCAATGAACTCAAGCATGGCAACAGTAGTGAGGTTGGCCCAGGATCGGACAGTGTTTCGTTCTGCTGTGCATAAGGTCGCTATGAGTTGGTATCGACTCGATGGCATCTAACAACAATAACAACAAGAGCAGAAAGCTGTGAGATGACATCAAGAACATCAGCAAAAAGACAGGAAAGAAAAGACCAAAATGGATATCAGAAGAAACTCTGACACTGTCTCTCCAGAGTTGTTGGTGTCATCAAGTCAGTACTGACTCATAGCGACCCTATGCACAACAGAATGAAACACTACCTGGCTCTCTAGTGTAGAGATACTAAAGTGAATGGAAGAAATGAGGAAGTAAAGGAACTCAACAGAAAATTTCAAAAGGGCAGCTCAAGAGGGCAGCTCAAGAAGACAAAGTATTCTAATGAGATGTGCAAAGACTTGTAAATGGAAACCAAAAGGCAAGTACATGTTCAACATTTAAGCTGCAAGAATTGAAGAAAAAAAAATTAAGCCCTGATTTGCAATATACAAGGATTATGTGGGAAAAAATATTGAAATGATGCAGAAAACTACAAGATAGAAGGTATACACAAAAATCACTGTACTAAAAAGAAATGGTCGCTATTCAACCATTTCAAGGGGTAGCTTATGATTCAAGAAGGAAGAAGTTCAAGCAGCACTGAAGGCATTCATAAAATACAAAGCTCCCGAAATTAATGGGATAAAAATTGAAATGCCAACAAACTGATGCAGTACTGGAGGTGCTTACTCATCTCTGCCAAAATCTGGAAAACAGCTACCTGACCAACTGACTGGAAGAGCTCCATATTTTTGACTATTCCAAAGAGGTGACCCAATGGAATGTAGAAGTCATCAAACAACATCATTAATATTACACCCAAGTAAAATTTTGCTGAAGATAATTAAAAAATAGCTGCAACAGTGCACTGCAATGGATTCAAGCCAGATTCAGAAGAGGATGTATAACTAGTGCTTGAACTGCTGCTGATCATGTGGTTGGCAGTCCAGTGTTTATCACACAGAGTGATGGTGTTTTTAATAGGAAGCTGTTTATTGTTAAGTGTCATCGAGTTGGTCCTGGCTCACAATGACCCTATGCACAAAAGAATGAAACACTACTTGGTGCTGGGGGTCTTCCTCTTTTTATCCACCCCTCCACTTTACCAAATATGATATCCTTCTCCAGGGACTGGTCCCTCCTGCCAAACGTCTGAAGTATGAGAGATGAAGTTTGGTCATCCTGGCTTCCGAGGAGCACTCTGGATGTACTTCTTCCAACATAGATATATTTGTTCTTTTGGCAGTCCATGGTACTTTCAATATTCTCCTCCAACATCATAACTCAAATGCATCAATTCTTCTACAGTCTTCTGTATTCACTATCCAACTTTTGCATGCATATGAGGTTACTGAAAACACCATGGCTTGGGTCAGGCATGGCATAGTCCTCAAACTGACATTTGTGCTCTTGAACACTTTAAAGACATCTTTTGTATTTGTTATGTATTGGTCCAGTGGTGAGGATTTTTATTTTCTTTACATTGAGGTCTAACCCATACCTAGGCTGTGGTCTTTGATCTTCATCAACAAGCAAGGTTGTATCATCTGCATATCACAGGTTGTTAATGAGTATTCCTCCAACCCTGGTGTCACATTTTTCTTCATATAATCTAGCTTCTTGGATTATTTGTTCAGCATACAGAATGAATAAGAATGAAGTTGTTTACTTGTGCTTTATTAACTTTGCAAAGACTTCACTGTGTGGATCACAAAATATGGATAACATTGCAAAGAATGGATATTTCAGAACACTTGTTTGTGCTCATGAGGAACATATACACAGACCATGAGGAAGTCATTTAAAAAGAACATGGAGATACTGAATGGTCTAAAATCAGGGAAGGTTTGTTTCAGGGCTATATTCTTTCACCATATTTATTCAATCTGTTGGTGGTTATGTGCCGTGGAGTCAGTGTTGACTCATAGCAACCCTGTACAGGGTTTCTGAGGCTGTAAAATTTTACGGGAGCAGAAAGCCTCATCTTTCTCCTGCAGAAGAGTTGGTAGTTTTGAACTGCGGACCTTAAGGTTCGCAGCCCGATTCATAACCACTATGCTGGATGTTTACCTATGCTTTATTGACTATGTGAAGGCTTTGATTGTGTGGATCATGACAAGCTATGGACAACAATGAGAAGTATGAGTATTCCAGAACACTTAATTGTACTTCTGAGAAATCTGTACCTAGACCAAGAAGCAGTTGTTCAAACAGAACATGGGAACACTGAATGTTTTAAAATTGAGAAAGGTGTGAGACAAGGTTGTATTCTTTCACCATACTTATTCAACCTGTATGCTGAGCAAATAATACAAGAAGTTGGGTTCTATGAAGAAAAACATGGCGTCAGGATTGGAGGAAGACTCATTAACAACCTGTGATATGCAGATGATACAACCTTGTTTGCTGAAAGTGAGGACTTGAAATATTTACTTATGAAGATCAAAGAGCACAGCCTTCGATGTGGATTGCATCTCAATGTAAAGAAAACAAAAATCCTCACCACTGGACCAATAAACAACATTCTTATCAATGGAGAAAAGATTGAAGTTGTCAAGGACTTCATTCTTCTTGGATCAACTGTCAATACTCACGGAAGCAGCAGTCAAGAGATCAGATGACGTATTGCATTGGGCAAATCTGCTGCACAGGAACTTTTTAAAGTATTGAAGAGCAGAGATGTCAGCTTGAAGACTAAAGTGAGCCTGACCCAGGCCATGGTATTTTCAATAACCTCATATGGATGCAAAAGCTGGACAGTGAATAAGGAAGATCGTAGAAGAATTGATGCCTTTGAGTTGTGGTGTTGGAGGAGAATACTGAGGGTGCCATGGACTGACAAAAGAACCAACAGATATGTTTTGGAAGAAGTGCAGCCAGAGTGCTCCTTGGAGGCCAGGATGGCTAAGTTTTGTCTCTCATACTTTGGACATATTGTCTGGAGGGAGAAGTCGCTGGAGAAGGATGCCATGCTGGGTAAGGTGGAGGGTCAGAGAAAAAGAGGAAGACCCCTAACGAGATGGATTGGCCAGGTGGCCTCATTGATGGACTCAAGTGTGGCAACGGTAGTGAGATTTGCCCAGGATCGGACATTGTTTCGTTCTGCTGTGCATGGGGTTGCTATGAGTCGGTTCCAACTCGATGGCACCTGACAACAACAACAACGCTGGATTATGTGAACAGTGTGGCATCAGGGTTGGAGGAAGACCCATTAACAACCTGCGATATGCCAATGATACAACCTTGTTTGCTGAAAGCAACTGATGAAGACCAAAAGACCGTATAGTATGGGTGCACCTCAATGTAAAGAAAACATAAATCCTTATTTCTGGACCAATAAATAACATCATGATAAATGGAGAAAAGATGAAGTCGTCAAAGACTTCATTTTGCTTGGATCCACAATAAACACTTATGGAAGCAGCAGTCAAGAAGTGAAATGACATCTTGCATTAGGCAAATCTGCTATTCAAGACCTTTTTTAAATGTGTTCAAGAGCAAAGATGTCAGCTTGAGGACGAAGGTGCACCTGATCTAAGAACCATGGTATTTTCAATGGTCTCATGTGCATAAAAAAGTTGGATAATGAATAAGGAAGACCATAGAAAAAGTCATGCATTTGAGTTACAGTGTTATAGAAGAATATTGAAAGTACCATGGATTGGCAGAACAACAACAAATCTGTTGGAAGAAGTAGAGCCAGAATGTTCTTTAGAAGCAAGGATGGTGAGACTTCATCTCTTGTAATTTGGACATATTATCAGAATTGACCAGTCCCTGAAGAAGAACATTATGCTCCATAAAGTGGATAGTCAGAGAAAAAGAGGACAACCCTCAACAAGATGGATTGGCACAGTGGCAGCAGCAATAGGTACAAGGATAACAACAACTGCGAAGATGATTCAGGACTCGGCAGTGTTTCATCCTGTGGTGCACGGTTCTCTATGGGTCAGAACCTGCACAATAGCACTAACAACAGCATGGGTAAGCAAGCACACTGCTTTTTCTTTAAACGTTTTGCACACTGATCTTTTCTTTTTTAAAAAATGTTTTACGATGAATTGAGTGAAGGTTTACATAGCAGTTATCAGTTTTGCATGAAGTTAAGGCATTTACTTTGTTTCATTTCAAGATTGCAATCCCCTTAATGTAGCATCTCTTATCCTACCCTAC